TTTCGTCAAATATATCGAGAATTCATCTTCTAGGTTTAACACGTTTAGCACCGAGTTCAGACCCCATAATTTCCCGATTCCCCTATCTGTGAGTATAGAGCATACGCTAAAACTCAAAGATCAGCAAAATGTAACTGTGATTGGTTACTGCTTATCGAGACATCCGAGAATTCGTCTAAACCAGTAACGACATTACTTCTCACCGGATCGTTGACGATCTACATGACCCTGCACACATAGAAAAATCTCCAATGCCCCCCCACCGTCTGCCATTAACGCCCATGAGCATTATCCGTGTTGAAAGTGCTAATCATTTTCCTTTATCGGCCGCTACGTCTGCTTCTTCGAGCAATTCACACAGATCCTATAGTCTAATAAAACATACCAGAAATGTCATACTTCAAATTACAGAATCAGTACTCTGAACCAGTGATGAGAACTTTATTTGCAGCGAGCCAACATTGAAAGCCCAATCATTCAGACGGACCGTTAAATTTCCTTTAAAAACCTAGTTTATTAATTTAAAAGTTGTTAATTTACTTTAGCTTTCACTTAAATTTGTTCACTTTAGTTGATCAAAGTGGGTTGCACAAACAACTTCGAGGAGCTGCAAGTAAATAATTGCCGTGCCGCGAGTTGCTTATCCCTGGTTTAACTCTCACGTGACGATGGCTGAGTCACTCGTTCAATAAGCCACGATGTTTTCGGGAAAGAGGATGAAATCAATGTTTACCTTTAAAATTACCCATTTTGTATTTTTTTTTTCTAATACTTGTAAGTAAATGTGAAAATGTTTTATATCAAAGGTGTCCAGCTACTGCTCACGAGCAACAGAGACTCGAACTTGTCCTCCCGGGTTACCCCCACTATGCTCCTCGGATCGACTCGCTCGAGTCGTGGCGGGAAGACTATTGGTGGGTACACTCGAGCGTATCAATCTGATCCCCATAGTGGGGGCAGCTCCGGAGGGGAAGATTTGCTCGCGAGCAGCAGTTGCATGTGACATACACGGGTCCGCTTCGGAGCAGTCATCAGAAAGGTTTTCAGCCCCTCATAATTTTGTTTTTTACCCGAAGCCATGCTTCTGCTTAGCTTCTGTTTACTCTGTTTCGATTGATTCCAGAGGGGTCCTCACCAGTGGTGGAAATAACACCGTTGCTCGTGTCGCATTCATCGAGGGATCACTGTATATAATATACAGGGTGATTCAAAAGGTTACATCCAAACTTAAGGAGCGTATACAGGAGTCAAAATAGAGCAACTTTTCATTAAGAACCTATGTTCCCTGAAGTAATCTTGAGTTTACTATCTTGAGTACTCTCCCACTAGCTTTATTGAGTTTTTATCAAGGTTCTCTTAAGGATTACATTAACATTCAAACTAAATGAGCAAAAATCTTCCAAAGTGACGACCTCTCCTTCAATGCTAGCATTCCATTGTCGAACAAAACCCTGGCGAACTCTCTGAAATACCCCAGATATGTCCCAGGCAACGTCAGTACAAAAGTCTCTGAATGTAGGGTACTCTGATAATAGACTGCTAACATATCGTATTCTGTGTAAAAGTATATGAATTTTTCAGAAGTTGACGATGACCGTTAGTTGCTGTTTTTATATCAACTTTGCATGTACTTATTATTCTTGAGTTCAGAATTCCATTGGTATTATCCAAGTTCCATACATTCAAATGCCTGTACTGATTCAGAATTAATTCGGGAAACATATAGTATGTTCCTAATCAAAATCTGTCCTATTTTGACTCTTCTTTTGCATCATCCTGTACATAGTGTCGGTATGAGTCATGAGTGACCGGGCCATCGCCGTTCACAATTAATTTTGCAATAGTTAAACAGTCTCTTCCTACAAGTTAGTTCTCGTTCAGCCTCGAAAAATGATCGAGAGTCCACTGCTATCGGATCCAGTATTCATTTTCAAGATCGTCCCGTATTTACCCGTTGGTCGTTCGGAGCGACATCTGGCTTTCTTTCTCGATGACACGAGCATAACTGTGCGCCGGGGGCAGCGATATAATTCGAACTTTTCTGTCACGAGTGACACGTGCGCAATTTATTTTCCCGCATTCGCCTCTCGGCTCGGTGGCGGTGTCGGGCCAGAGTCCACTCGGTCCTGAAAATAAAAGTTACCGGCCGCGCAATGAAACAGAGCACGACGCGGCAGCATGGGAATAGGTGGTGGGGGCGGGTCCAGGAAACGTCCGGCATTATCGCGATAATGCAGCGTCGTCTTCTACGGCCGGCACACGGTTGTATCCATTACTATTACCTTTTTATTTTCATTGCCGTACGTGTACCCGCCGCGAAATATCCACTTCCGAGCCTTGTATTCCCGTGTCCCTGGGTTCGATGGGCGCTCGTAAATTCCTCTCCCCAACCGGTCGCGGTGCGCCGATAATAGCCGGCGGGAAAATTGAATGCTCGATTCGCACGCGTCTGAAATCATTTCGCTGTAATGCTACACCATTACGCCGGAAATAATCGACCGTCCCCCTCGTTCCCGTTTAAAACAGACCCGCAATTAGCGATGGCCACTCGATACTGTCTCTTTTACGGAATTTCACGCGATTCTATTATCGCGATCGGAATATGAGTACGTTAAGAACCCGAGGAAATGAGGGTGGGTGGAAATCATTTGAAATTACAGAATGGAACGTTATGTTTGAAGTAACGAATCGTTTATATTGTTTCACTGTTTTCCATCCGAAAAATGATTTGAGAGAAGCAACTAGGGTAAAAGACCCAATTACTGACATTTTAAGAATTGGCACTGACATTATTGCATAATTTTTGTATAACAGACCGAACTATAAGTTTTTATTTGTATTTATTATTATTTAATATGTTTCATTGAAGGAAAAATTTGTTGAAACTTTCTGATCTTCTACTTTTGTTTATAAATTCATTAATTTTTAAAATATGTCTTGAAAGCTATTACTGACACCTGTAAAACGTGTTCGATCGAATTACTGACCTCCCAATTACTACCACCTAACCAAATACTGTCACCTTATATATCTAAATACTGTTGTCACTTTTTTAGATAAGGCTGAACGTGACTGCAGATTGTATTGGTGGCATTAATAGCGCGAGGCTTTGATTTCGTAAAGAATTACTGACATTGACAGTAATTAAAAAATGATTGAAACTCTTGTACCAATCTCTGTCACCCAAATATTAAACTAGAAAACTTAACGAATCGTTCAACTATGATCGACATTGTTTTCTATGATCTTTATATTAACTAAAAACATTATATTTCATTATGTTACTGGCTCAAATATTACGGTTATAGTATTTCCTTTAATACCTTGTTTTCCCTTTCGCTAGTAAGGAAGTCTTTTAGTTATAACTCTTCCAACCGACTAAAAATTTTTGACCATTTTATAAAAATGAATGGAAAAAGGAAATCAAGTGCTGATCTTTCTATCGTATGAATTACAGTTTTAATTGCTTTTATGTATTGCCAACGGTTCGTTTCGTTCCGTGAAGCCATCGGAAGATGTCGAATACACGTTTTTATACGATACAATTTGAATTTTTATCGAAAAACAGAGAGATGGAATGCCTTGCGAAAATATACGGTCGAAATTAGAATTGACCGTAAATGCGCGATGCGGGGAAAAAAAGGAGCAGGTGCGGGCGAAGGATTCGATTTAGAGCTAATGGAACGTACATGTCACAGAGTTTCCTCGAAGGGAACCGGCGCAAAAAATATCGGCAGTTACATTTGTGTACGCCTTCAGTCGTTCCGTCCGTTTTTCGTAACTTTTTCAATATTATTTTGTTTGTTTTGTAGGATACAAAGTACAACTGAACAAAGTGGAATACAGAAAAAAAACATCCACCACAATCCTCTAAAACTATTCAATATTAAAATAATGTTCATTACATGAATCCATCGGAAACTGGATGAGTGTACATAATTAATTTGTTTATAAAATTGAGATGAAATAATAAACATACTGTAAGCAGAAGTTTACAAACTATGTCACAAGTGCACAAACGGAGTGTACCTATACAATACATTCCTGAAATGACCAGCGTAATCGAAAACACAACAAAAGGTAATAAATATTCGGGGGTAACAAAACTATATATAAAAAATTGCGGTAAAACGCAGTGTTGCCTGTGGTGTGTGGACTCGACGGGACATGGAATGAATAAAATTTTACGCTTGCCTTTACAAAAATGGCGTCATACGTTCCACGCGCGTTCGAATACGTACGAACCGAACGAACAGTCCGGAAATCATTGTCCGACATTAAGCTTTATCGTCCGTGCTGGCTGCACTTGAATTTATTCGCCAATTTGTCTTATGCCAATAAGCCTGACGTAGAAAAGGTAAATAAAAACCGTGAAATTGAAAATATAGAACAGAGTGTGTGCTTCTCGGTGAGCGACACAGATTTTATTAACTCTTTATTTTTGGTGAATATTTTATTTTGATTTCCATAACACATTTTCTCGCTACCTACCGAAATTAATCAATCATCGGAAAATTTTTAGGTAATCAAACAAATATTCTTTTTGTTTTACGAGAGATATTACAAATGTTACTCGTGAATAACAAATATTTTTTACTTGAATAGAGTTTCTTCTTGTATAGGAATGAAACATGTATTAATTATGGATTTCTTATATAAAATAATTAGAAGAGACAATATTTTTAATTTTCGATGGAAGAATAAAAGTCGGGTGGCGAATGGCGGACGACCAATATCTCGATAATTAATTGTTTCACGCGCTAAATCAAATGGAATTTCGTAGAAATTATCATTTTCATATAATAATTTCATACGGTATTTAATGATCAGTCAAATAAGTTTGTATTTTTGTTTTTCTCTAGACAAGGAAACTTTTCGTTAAATGTAATTTTTAATTAGAATGAAAATACCTCGAGGAATTCTGTGGTAGGGTTATTTAATTGATAAGAGTTGACCATTTAATTTCTGAATTGAAGAAACTTTTTCCTTTGCCGTTCTAGCAACCGAGGAGAAATTCGATCTTGTATATAGAAGGAAAACCATAGATGATAAGGATGGAGTGGAGATAACGTGTATGGCAGAAGGACTGTATCCACAACCCACCCTGGATATATCCATCGAGTAAGTACTTCTGCAAGCTTTCCAACCCCTCAACCATGCACTAGGGTAAACTACCCAATTTTCTGATATTTTTAGATCTTGATAAAACGGAACTCCCGCTTATTTGTTAACGAACGAAATGTTTCTTTTGCACGATACGCAATGCCGCGATATTATTTCATCGGACAACTGAGTTAGTGTTCTCGCACGAATTACATGGAAAGTCTCTGAACTTAATTTATCAAAATTAATCTACATGCTGTAATAAAACCTGATAATATGAAAAAGTTTTTGGTATTTCGAATTTTTATTAGAATCTATTTATCTATTATGAATACAGTCTAGTAGTCATACTACTATACATATATGTATATCTAGAATGATATATCGAGACAAATCTCATAGTATCTTCTTTTTATTACAATTAGTGTCTAATCAACGTGAATTTGTAAAAATAATTTGATTAAGAAATTTTTAAATATGTTCCAATAGAAAAATTGTAAGAATGTATAATATTTATAACAAGTTTGCCGTAACACAGTAATTAACAAAGTGTTATTTTTATCATAAATTGAGGTATCATTTTTTGTGTATGTTAGTATAGAAAATATTATAATATAGTATGAATTATGATAAATAAATAAAATGTAATGTAACAGAGGAATGTTTCCATACAATTACTATTTTTTAACAATACTGTAGTATACAACAATAGTATTTTACTATATTTAGTAAACAGGATTTTTTAACGTTCCAATGGAAACACAGGCTAAACTCGCCTGATTCCAACACTAGAAAACTTTTGAGTGGTAACGAATTCGACGAAACAGACTCGTGGCACTGTTATCTGTAATAATAAAACCCGAAGTACAAACCCTCGACAGCGACAAAGTAAAGATAAGACCGCACTGAATGAATATTATTATTATTTTATATTATTCATTAAGATCTTCAACATGCATATAAGCACTATAACGAGAGTATTCGAATAGCAAAATATTATTTTAAGTTGAAGCTTTAACTTTAACAGTTTAATTTTTCGTTCTTGTTTATATTCTTTTGTCTAATCTGTCGGCTAATGTATGTCCTATACACTTTTCGTACTCGAAGCTTTGAGTATTCTATTGTTTAAGTACTATCGTTACTAACTGTGGTTACGATGATTTTCTGAAGGACTATTATATTAGTACTAACAGAGATCATGATTATTTTTCACAATCAAAATTCGTGGTGTCAATTCCAGTGTTTCGTCGAATGCGGGAAGGAAATTTTGAGTAACATATTTCCTTAATTAAGAGTTAAAAAAAATCATTTTGTCAGCTTCAAATCGATATACTTCCCTGATACTTATTTTGGTATGTAATACTTCAAATGTACATTTGAAGTGCTTTTTTCATATCGTTGAAATTTAAATTCACTGAACGTTTTGTCCATAATTAACCCTCGTGTACCATTTTGATTCAGTTTCGCCTGAAACATAAGTTTTATTTTTGATCGCGTCTTTTACTACACAAATTTGTGAATTCACTTGTCATCAACAGTTAATATACTTGTATTATAATCTAATGATAAGTGAACCCATTTTAGTCATTCGGTTTAACATTGGGTCAAATTAATTTAAGCAATATTCAACAGATAGCTCTTTGAACAGCGCGCAGAGGTTAAAGATAAGAAAAATTAGTTGTTTTACATGTATTAGAATCTACCAATAACAAGTCTAACCTAACCCATTTTCTCCATTCGATTGAAACATTGGATCAGGTTAATTCAAGGAGAATACAACTATCTTTAACCCTTGTGCGTCGTTGAAAAAGTTATGAAGAATAAAGATTAGTCGTTTTGATTATAAATTGTATGGGTCCCAGCGGACCCAGGCGCCACGATGCTCGCCGTTGCGAGTGTTAAAGGGGAGGATAGCATGTCATGGTCTCTAGTGGAACACACTGTATCGCATGATGTTTCGGCTTTAAACCAGCCATGATAATTTTGCAAACGTCGCTTCCATTGCAGGGGTGTTCCGGAAAAGCAAACAGTGACGGCCACCGTTACGCTGCGTGACGATGGACTGTACGATATCTTATCACGAACGGCCTTACTGGACGAAGATTTACCGGAAGCAGCGATTGTCAAATGCTTGCTCGGTATACCGAAGGCAAACTACAACGTTTCCCACAAAACCGTCTACTATCCCGGTTAGTATAACGTTATTTTAATCTGCCCCATCTATCTTTGTTTCTATCTCTCGCTATTCCTCTCCCTTTCTCTCTCCGGACAGCACCGAAAGTGTTTTGGAATCGATCTTCATAGAAGAGAACGGGTGGAGACATCAATCTTTCAGAAAAAAATTTGAATCTTACTATGTTGATCAACTACGCTTGATTTTTTAGAAAAAGTTGATTCACGTTAGGCCTCTAATTAACCCTTTCGCTACGGGAACGTCAGCCAAATAGCAATCATGCAGTCCGTCATCACGATACATTATTCTAGTGTTTCAGTTTATTTCATTAATTATATAATTTTCAAAGCATAAAAACAAAATAGTATTTGGATAAAGTCGATACTTATTTTAAATTATATTTTGTCATTAGTGGATTTTGGATATTTATGCAAATATAGATTTTCGTGAACTAATTTGTAGAAACTGAAATAAAACAGAAATTTGTCCTCTCTATTAAAAGTTTTATCAGATCACTATGAAACTGCAAAAATATGAATCTTTGGTGACCTTTTTGTCATACTCTGTTTTAGACAATCTAGAATGCCATAAATGTATAAACTCCACAGTCTAGTCATTTCTTTAAACCTTGTATTGAACGGCTCCGGGTCGGTATTAAAAGCGAAAAGGTTAAATTCGAGGCGTCATCTTTTCTATAAATGTATACACCGTAGTTCAAAATGTCGTTGAAAAAGTTACACGATGTGTAGAAGACTTGCCTCGCAAAAATTTCTAACTCTGTACGTTGACCACGATCGCAATGTTCATTATTAATTGTCCCCCCGAAAAATCCAAAAAATATCTACAAAAATATCTCTCCGAAAAAAGATACGATATCCAGAGTAAAACAAACGTGTAAACGTCGTTTTTTTTTTGTCAAAGAACGTGACGGTATTCGATGTCGATAACACCGGTGCACCGACTTTTAATCTCGAAAGTGCTTAAAATATCATTGTTTCGGACTGGCTATTAGATTGCTTCCCTTGTCCCGTGTGTACATGTTGTCCGCGTTACGTATAAACAGAGGAACGTCAATAACAAATTAAACGGCATCGACTGTTAGCGAATTGGGGATTTTAATGCGTGTACACCTCGTGCTTGCATTATATATGTGTGTGTGTGTGTGTGTGTGTGATCCATAGGACACCTAGCGTCACCGTCGAGCCCGAAGCGATATCTTCCTTCGACCCGTTAAATAAACCAGTCTTTTTGCCCGCTCGTGTGTCAGTGTCTGCTGCGCGTGCATGCTTCCCCAGCAATATACGTATTTTTCTTTTGATTTTTTTTTTGGGAAATATTGCAACGCGATAAAACTGACTTCCGTCCGGGAAATATTCGGCGTTTGACCGAATGAAAGCTTTTCAGGGCATTTAATAAAGTGAAACGAAACATAAAAAGAGACGGTGAAGCCTCTGACGTGTACGACAATCGTCGGATTTCAGTTTGTCGAAATTGTACGGTGCGCAATTTCATCGTGATTTGATCGAATTTATTGGATCAGAAAACATTCTGACCATTGCGTAAATATTGATTTAGGTTATTATTGTGTCCTTTAGAAAATAGTTATAATATGTTATTAGAATCGTAGTTCAGCCGACAGCTGTCAAATATGTCTTTCTTAGAATCAGTTTATAGCGTGTGCTTCCTTATGTAGTTAGTTAAAAATGAAATAATCGACAAATTAGTATTTGATACATAAACTCGTTGGTGTAAAATATTTTCCGAAAATTAGTTTAAGAACTTCAGTGTATCTCATTGTACCATTGAACATGATAGGCAACGAAGCAGTAAACATCGTAATAATGAATAATTTGACATAAATGGGAAATTCTTAACTGAAAATTATCTTCTCTTGTATTTTGTAAATGCGTTTAATCTTTATTTCAATAAGACCGTAAATATGTCTTTCTAATTTTAGATAGTACAGAAGTGAGGTAAATCATGCAACTAACAATATACATACGTAGCTTAGTGTTTAAAGAAAAACACAGTGATTTGAAAATTTCTAATTTTCTATGACCGCTTTTTTTAAATTACCAGAAAAGGTGACATATTGAAGTAAACATATAGTTACACTTCATGGGTGCTTCTTTGCAGTAGGGAAAAAAACGACGTCAGTAGAAAGTAATCATTGTTGTATCGTTAACATGTTGACTGCCATGTGAATCATGTTATATTAAATAACCTACAAATTTTACACAGTAAGATTTACAAACTGCTAAATGTAATTCTTAGTAACGCAATAATCCAAATGAAGAATACACTGCGTAGCATAACTATAGTACTACCCTAAAATTTGTAGTCCTTATGTATTGTGTTTAAAATAAAAACGAACCATTTGCTTCTATCAAATATAAAGTATACTTTTATGGGGAAACATTATTTCCGAACACGATTTCAGACAGTTCGTTTTTATTTTAATCAGACTACATAAAAATTAAAAATTGTAGGGAGATTTATAGTTATGCCACGCAGTGCATAAATGACAACACGCAAAAAATTCTGGCAGTCAACGTAATGAGGTTCTCATCGAGGTTTGGTATTAATGTACTTGAACTATGAGGAAATATATTTTAAATTAAAAACGTCTTCCCAATTTTTCACTAACGAAAAATTGCGTAAAACGTCTGAAAATTCTTACTAATATAAATTAAGCACTGTAGATTCTTGACTTCTACAGAAATGGGTACTGATTTCTTTAAGAAATAGTAGATTACTTATTGCTACACCCAATACATTTGAAGTTAATAGACATATGTAGATGTAGTAAGTGTATTAAAGACGACTTAGTATTACGATTATTATTATTACCTACAGCCAGAGAGAAAGTAAAGAACTTATTGTACTATGGCGGCACCTTCCTTTTTACATTTTTCCAGTCTATAAATTGCCGCCAAAGTACAATTAGCTACCTGATTTACACTAAAAAGTTCCGCAGATTTCCAAGGAGTCAGTTAGTTCGTAACCTAACAAGAAATAGAACCCTCCAACATCGGATTACCGATTTCATTAATTCTTTTATGACATGTATTGGATTTCTTTCTTTTTGAATATCACCCCCTTCATATACGGGTAGATACTCGAAAGGTTATGAGTTATTCGCTCTTGACTCTTTCAGCGTGACTTCAATACAACTTATTATATGCTACCCGATTATTCGCGGATGCGTTGTGTCGTCATGGCAACGTTCATGGTTTCTACCGTGACGACCAGAATACAAATATGTCAAAATAATTTACAAACAAAAGGTACTTGAACTGTGGCCGTCACGGAGAAAGTCGTAGAGAGAATTTTAACAGCAAAAAACTCAAATACTATCGAGTATCTGCCACCATAAGGAGGATAATTTATAAAGAGAGAGGAGACCATCACATGTTCTGAAAGTTTCACCAATGTCTGCGATCCGAAGTTGAGATCGTTTCGTTGTAAGTAAACAAATACCACAACCTTTTCCGATATCAGTAAATATATATCCCGCGACCACAGCAAGCTGTTCAGAATTTTCCATCTGAACAAGAAAACAAAAGCCCTTATCTCCACTTCATCGAAAGTCATTCTCCTCGCGACAACGACAAGCCCACCACCCCCTTGTCGGATCATCTTAATCGAGATCAAGGCGTTTCGGTTTATTATACTTGTTCCATTATCCTGACGACGTCTCGGTCCCCACCGAGGATGACATTCCACGGACGGGAGCCTTGGGTTCAAAGGGCAAAGTCCTAAGAGGCCGTGTGCTGCTCACGCCGAAGGGTCAAGTAGTGGGCGTCGACAGGTCTTGGCGTGTGCATCGCGTTTACTCTCAGAGACGGCCCCGAGTATTTTGCGGATGAAACTTGCAGCCGCGTCCTTCTTCTTCTCCTCTCTCACCGACCCCTCTCGTTATCATCCGAGCCTCGGGGAGAGGGACGGGTCTCCGGCTCATCCGGTTGCAGCCAGCAGCTTGCGGTGGCTCCGAAGAAAAGGGCTAAATTACACGGGTTAAATTGCTTGTACTTCCAGCCAGCACGCCCCGCCTATTATCATCCAATTTCCCCCCCCCCTGCGCGGGCTAAATCTTCCGCGGCCCGCGTGGATTCGGAAAAACGGGGGCCGGGGTCGACGTGTTGCACCATGGTCGTCGTCTTGACGCGCTTCGGGGGAAAGGATCCTCTTCGTTAGCCCGCACGCTGGCTCGGGAGTGTTTACCAATTTGCGCCCGTCTGTTCGACGAGCGTGCGCGTGACGAGCATCGGGGATACGTTTCGGTGACTTCCTGGCTTCGGGGTTATTATCGATGGGCACCACTGAAGAAGCGCCGGGCGAGTGGAACGGGTCTACGGAAAGTCCGGCTTACGAACCAATTTCGAATTACGGCTGAATTGGTATTGCATGAAAATTTGTAGGAACGGGCACTCTTAACCCTGTATCGGGGGAAATATGTTTTGTGACATCAACGGGCGTAATGTCCCTGGGAGGCACGGTTCATAGTAAGATGTTCTTTTTCGGCTTCTATGAGATAGTGTTCTTAGTATTTTTGCAAATAATTCATTTTAATGATATGACTGTTTGATTGACAGTATTAATGATATTAAAATAGTAGGCTAGGAATATAACTGTTTCATTGACAGTATTAATGGTATTGCAACATCAAGCTAGAAATAAAAACTACTTGAAACACTTCTAATACTTGGTTTGGTATTTATTAAGAGGGTTAAAATTGAGTTCTGCTTTTATTGGGTGTATCAGTAGACAGGTTGGTGTTTTTTAAATTTGGTAACTGAGATCAGGAAAATAAGTGACACGTGATATTTTATTATCAGGCGAATCATTAAGTAATGCAGTACTTATTTTTATACGTTAATAACACACTTTAAATTTAAAAAAGATCCTGCCTTCCTTCTTTTTTTGAAAATTGCAGGGTGTATTGAAAAGCGAGGACAGATATTATTAAAGTTTCTATGTATTATTAATGATCCCTACTACAGTAGAACTCCACGTATCTGAATACTTCGGAGGCCAGAGAGTTGATATAATCGGACCGTTCACATAATGGGAGTCCACCTATTCTCCCCATTCTCCACAACTGTTCGTTCAAATAATAGGAGTTCACGTTCAAATAAGTGGAATCAATCACACATTCACACAAGTACACATTTTTTCTGTTTATACCAATTTTGAATACCATGTTTTGAAATTAATTAATTTATTAATTATTTAGTAGATACAAACATTAGTACAAAATTAATACAAAAACATTTCTTTTATTTTTATTCATGCCATTTATCGCCGATTCCACTTGATATTTCATTGTTTCCGGTTCGTTCTTTTTTATATAACATAGTTGCCTTTGCACTATTATATGTATTCTTTGGATAGGACAGTTTCCGACTCACCACTCCTTAATCCCTTTAGTAATTGGAATTTTTCTTCAACAGTAAGCACATTTCTCTTTTTATGATTCTGTTTTGTTTCTTGAATTCTAAAAACATTCACATAACTATAACTGGAGTGACGCTCGGGCGTCGCGTCGTTCAGATAATAAGAGCTCGATAAGAGTTTCGTTGATCGGGTACTCGCTAAAATTTCCATATAATAAATGAAGTTTTAGATACGCGAAGTTCTACTGCATTTTACAATTTTTACTTTCCGGAATTTCCAATAAATAGTGGATTATTTATTGGTATACCTAATAATATTCGTCCCTATTCTGCAATTAACTACGCCAGTCTTTTTAAACATACAGTGTGTATTAAGAAATTGTGGATTCTTCATTGATTCATTGAATCAATATTATTAGGTGTACTGATATACGACTTACTATTTTCTTCGTAATATGATTGCAATGTACTTTTAATTCAAAATATATAGACTTCTTTTTTTAATTCAAAGTGATATAATATTATACATACTTTGTTAAAGAATAGTGAATTATTGGTTCTTGCACTCAAGACATGGAAGAAAAGTATTAATAAAGGATGATTAAACTAATACAGTGAAAAAAGAAGCAAAATCAAAATTTGTGAGTCACATTTAGTATGATTTAGTGAGCAAAAGAACAATGAATGTTGATTCTATTGATTGTAACTTATGAACTACATGATAATTACTTGCAGTACCGTACTAAATAAATACTAGAAAGACTACCAAGAAATTAATAAAATAATAGAGAAACTCGTCTTTCTCACTGTAAAATAAACGCAAATTTGCAAATTAATTTATTGATTAGAGTGTATACTAATGTACCATTTTGACTACTTTAGTAGTTCCTGTATTAAAAACATCTAATGTCAAACTAAAGTTACTATAAAAGCAGAAACATAGAAGCCACACTGTTATGAATCTGTGATAAACAGCAAAATATTAGTTGAAATAAAAAATAGCAAATCTTCTTCTTTCCATTCATGCTTGACGATTAAATTCTTATGAATGTGTACATAAACAGACAAGGGGAACTAATTATTATTAACATTTTCAAAACAAATGCCTTCTTATTAAAACGTTATAATTAAGAAATTTATTTTTTGACTCGTTAGAGTTACTCAGAGGTTGGACTCTCGCATTCCTCTCTGAGTAACTTCTGCTCAAGACTTCATTCCTTTACAAGATTATCTCTCTCGGTTGTCACAGAACTAGTATAATAAAATTAAAGGACTCCTGAAGTTCTCGTTGCGTTATGTAGTATAATATAACGCCCGTTTAATGTCTCGCCAAACCACCAGAGATTAATTATCTCGTCGGAGAAACTTCAGTAAAAAATATTTATCTTGCGTTCTGTTAAAACAACGACGAATTTAAATATTTCATAAAGCCCGTGGACATCTTACAAAAAATCACACAAATTATTTTCCCATTATTTCGTCTAAAAAAAGTCACGAATTCAGCATATAATATCGAATTTCTGAGTAGATAGGTCCGTCCCGTCTTGCATTTTGTGTGTTCGTTTCGTTTTTGTGTTATAGTTAACGAGCTTGTGAAACGTGATATGAATTATTTATGATGAAACAAATAAATCCTCAATGCACGCACACGTTGAATATGCTCATGAATTTCCCGATTTATTTGATGTTATACCGATATATTTGTTCTGTTTGTTACTAACGATCCAAAGTTTAAGTAGATGTCGGTTTCATTATTTCATCATCGTCATTCCGAAATTATACAAATTTAGACTACGGAATTTTATGCAAATACACATTTTTTATGAAGTAATTCATAGAAAATGGGTTCAAATAGAATCAGCCAACAAATTAAGTTTCAAATACTATAAAAATCGTATCGGAATTAATGAACTTTTTAATCTGCTTAAAACACTACGTGTTAAATAATCGTGTTTGCAATAGATGCATAAAATCCGTAGCCTACTTCTAACACAGTTTATAACTTTACAGTATTATACATCGAATCATTGCTAGTATAAAGAAACATGTACACATTGGGACGATACTTTTTATGGAAACAAACATTTATTCAATGTTTTAAATACATTTGATTAAGTTTTAAATACAAACATTTAATTAATTAATTTTCACAAGTGATTCAGTAAGTGATTCAGTTGTTGGTCAAAAAGTTCGTACAGTTTTTAATTCGGCTGACATAGCCAAGTTGATGCAAACGGTTTTCTACGCTTCATTTCGATACTTACAGAATTTGTGCAATTTTCACAGTAGGTCGTGGTAAATCTTTTGTGTCCAACCAGAGCGTGGTGCATCCTAAAACGAAAAATCCCCGAAACAAAATTTCATAAACCACTTCTGGTGCACGCATTCTTTTGATGGCATTCTCTCCGTACACATTGCTTAACTATTTTTAGGTTCGCGCCGCGTTTTTTCCTGTTTTTATATAGAACACCAAAATAAGCCGAAAATGCTCCTTTTCGATGTCCATCTTGAAAATTCTGCCGAAATTATAAAAGCAAGTTCAATCTTCAAACTTTTTGGTTAAAATGTACCCTTAAATGTTATCTATGAAATAACTATGTGCTTTCAAGATTTCAACTAAATTTAGTTGCGCTTCGGAGCGTCAGAAGGCAACCATCACCAAAAACCGCACGAACTATTTGGCCAATCCAATAGAATAGAAATGAGGGTCTATTAGCATAAATCTGTATTTGCGAAAGTTTAATTCGATTTCAATTGAAGGAAAAATACTTTATAAATATAAATTCGTGGCAAAGTATTGTAGTTATCAGGAAACAATAAAATAATCATTCGCGTATTCCATAATTTACATATAAACAGTCTATAAAAATCGCTTCCTCAACCGAACACATTATCACTCTATCTATTCTTCATGTTTCATTACTTCCTTATTTATATCTATTTCTTTTTCCATATGTTTGGTATATTTTAACTTCTATGACATTCCTTTTCTGTATTTCTCTCTGATTTTCCATTATCACAAAACAAACTGTAAATTTAAAATCTGAAAAAAGAAATAGTGTCCGCCACGCGTGATCGTCTTCACCTTCAGTACCAACACCGACACCGTTTCTAACCACCCGGAACGAAATGATTCAACCGAAATTGTTTAACACTGTTAACCAGTCCGTAGAAAATATCTATGCTTACTACTTGATGGACGCGATATGTGGTGTTTGTTGTGCAGGAACGCCTACTACTACTTCAACTGCTACTACGAAGCTGCTGCACGTAATGGAGAACCAAGCGCTAGACAACTCAGAGCCTGGCGATGGTGGTGGTAAGGCTTGTAAATTTCTCCTCGTCTATTCACGGCATCACCACCATAAGCCACCATCGTTCATGAGATTTGGAAACTTTGACAAGATCGATAGTGTTGTCTTTCTTGCGTGCGAGGATTCCAATTCCCAAAGCATTTCACGCCTCGAATTTGCTCGTAACGCCTGAAAATCGCTTTAGTACCCTGGGGCCATCGTTTCTTAGCAAAAGAATCCGAGGGACTCGCTGACAAAGAGCACACCGCGAGCGATACGGCTTTCTGTCTTTCCCTCCACCCAACCCCATCCACCCACGATTCGAGTTGAACGACTCCGCGACTGAGGAGAATTCACGTGTTTACGGTGAACGGGTTACGCTTTTCGAGGAAAACAGGATGTTTGAGGCATCAGGCATGGTATTGAGTTGCACATCCTATCAGAGTCAGTTCGTTTCAATGTCAGAATTGCGCTTGAAACCACTTTTCTACGTAAATGTTTTGCAATATTTGAATAGTTACAAATGAACTGATCTTCACTAAAAAAAAATTAAAGATAAATGAATGATTATTTGAAGATACTATTGAAAATGGATTATAGATAATGGGTAGATCATTGAAGGTCATCTTTTGTCTCGTTTACACAGTGAGGATTTGCAATTCTTACGTGTATTAAATTACTTGAAAACTTTAATTGTTTATTGCGTGAGAGTCTGATTAGAATATTACCTGCAGAAATTGATATTAATATTAAGAAGCTTTATTAAAATTCTATGCCATTTTATGTAATTTTTATTAATATAATGCTGTCCATGATTGTACACCTGAATTTCGTACCAGTACGGGAGATCGTTCGCTTTGTCCCACATTTCAGGCAGCTTACTTTTGGCATCGTGTTTTTTGCACTTTATTGCACTTTCAACACTTGTACTGAGGCACCAACGCTGTTCGATGTTCTGATAATGTTAGAATTTTTAAATAATAGGTGCAATTATACATACTTTTCTAGGTTTCACTGCTTGCATTCAACCTCCGACTTTTTCTCCGTCGTCTATTTTCGATCCAATTTTCACGTGCAACGTGGAAGATAAAACAAAAAGTGTCTAGTAGTGTATGATGTGAATATTAACTCCGGCCATCTCCAATAAGTATTTTATCGGCTCGACTGGAATGTCATTTGTATTACTGTTTCAATTACTTGCAATTTTAGTTTTCCTTTTAACTACAAAAAAAAATTAATAACAACAAACATAGACGAATAATTTTAGGCTATTTATGCAAACTACAATTCTACAAACTATCTCTCAGAAAATCATTAAATTAAGAACTTCGTTAAATTACGAATAAAACAAAAATAGTTATTTTCAATGCATTTTGTACGTTAATAATTTGTAGAAGTGCATAAAATCCATAGTGTAGCAGTACTTACATATACATAGCAAAGAGGACCAAGCTTTTACATGCTGGATCAGCCTACGAAAGTACAGAAAATTGTCAAATATTCGATGAAGTTTTATTTATTAGTTATGCTTATTTCATAAAATTGAGTTTCATTTTTTTCTCTCATTCTTTTACGTCACATCAAATACCAAAATTATTGGCGACAACACTGTTCAGTTACGTATATTACACTTGTTAACTAGTTTTGTCTCTTTGAGGAATCGGAGCAGTAGACGCATTTTTTATGGTTGAAGAAACTCTTTTTTTAAGTTATAGCTTATGTTGTTCTTTTGAGTTTGATTATTTCTTATTTTACTGTGAATATCGACAACCAATTCGATCTGCTCAAAGTTCACGAACGATATTCCCGAACTCCAAACCTGCTGAGCACCATTAATAAGCGTGAAAAGCGTTTTATTCCTGCTTTGCACTGACAACTAAAATATTTAAATACTAATCATACCCGTTGCGCTGGCAAAATAGTTTGCGCGTCATACGGCAAGAAACGCAGAGCATCCTAGTCTCGGTTAATAAATCAACAGGGCAGGCCTCCTCCAACAGGACCAGCAATTAAACTACGTTTCTTCATAAATATTCTATCAGGATTAATGTTTGTAGAAATCTACACGCAACAAACGAGCACCACAGAAACGGTAACGACTTCCTGGGAAATGAAATACAAACAATCATAGAATAAAGGTGCCACATGGTTGCCGTCGTTCCTGTGGAGACTTGAAATAAATAATTTAATATGTCGCTTCTACCTCATATATTAGGTCGTCGAATAAAATTGCTGTATCTACCAGTAAGTAATCCAGCATTTTTTTAAATTGCAAGGCCATATGATTTACTTTAAAAATACCTTTCCAACCTTTCACTCGCAAGGGAAGGTTCCGAACACAACAATTCTGATTGTAATGAAACTTCGCATGTACAATTCAATAAACCATTGACAAATGCACATTTGTTGCATGCAACGATTATCTTAGTCTCTGACGATTAAGAATTTATATATAAAATAAAAAAAATTTGATTTTGTTCATAAATGACCGATCGTAAAAAATTTTTCTTTCGGGAGCGTAATAGGTCATAAACGACTAAACGATTTTTGTATTATCAGTTTTGCTCTGCCTCGTACTGATACAAAGTTATACTAAGAAAACGAAAAAATGCGAAAACTTTAAGGGTTGATTTCACCCCTTCAGAGTAAAAACGGACACGAAAAAGAATTGCTCCAAGCATAAGGTTTAATCTGCTCCACATTCATACGAAGTTTCATTAAAATCAGAATTTTCGGGTTCGGAACCTTCCCTTGTTAGTAAAAATGTTGTAGGATGTTAAAAAACCATTATAAATACAAATGAGGCACTATAGAAGCTGGAGCTTTGTAAAGACTAATTTCGTCAAGTATAGTGGATTACTTATTGGTACATCTAATAAATGCCGATTTTGAACTGCAAAGTTTGAACGATTACAATTTATCTTCAAAAGGATACTCTTCATCGGAACAAAATCCATTTCAACCGACATACACTCTTGCCAACGAGTTACAAGCTTCGTGATCCCATGATTAACAATCGTAAGGTAACGAAATTGAAACTCGTTGAAAACCGTTACTCAAACAACAAACTAACATTACCACGATGAAAGGTCTGTTTCAATAAATACGTACTCTTTTAGCTAAAAATTTAAAGTGTTACCTGAGTTTATTAAATAAATAAACTCATGTTGCTATAAATAATGGCAATCATAAGTTGAAAATTAAGAAATTCAGTAATTAGTACTAAAAATGTTAATTATAATACAGAAAATGTAAAACCCTGTTTAGACTTTTTCCCAGCAATGCATCTCGGTATCAATAATATACACTAGTGTGATAAATAAGATAATATAAAGTACTGAAATGCAATTGGAAATAGTAATTTTATAATACTAGAAGTACATTTATTAGAAAAGAAGTTTCGTATTAGATTTAAGTGACTCGACAGGTATCCCACTTTTTTTTGTTATGTCATGTCTCCTTTTTTACTTTCTAAATAAATTCGTATCATTCGTGAAGACGTAGCAATCTATTTTCAACGAAGCACTTCAGACGAATATTCAAGTTCTTTGGTCGATATTATAAACGAATCACCTGAAATCCACTTCGCCAATCGATTTTTCATGATGCAATATTGCCCATGTTGCATTCCTCATTTCCTCTTCAGAAGTCTTATTTCCTTTCACGTTGCTCCGAGAAAAAGAAGTCAGCAAGTTTTTGTGTAATCACTGACTTCTTTCGTCGTTTCTTAAACGGTACAGCATCGACCCGGGGGCAGCTACCCTTCTATGTAATATAATGAAAAAGAGAACGAGTGAAATACACGATAAATGACGGTAACATCCAGTAAAAACAAGTATTCGACTGAGACGTCTGTTATCCTGCAAATATACTTTTATTATAGCGGTAAATATCAACTTAACATTTGAATTTCATTACAGCGAATAATAACCAAATTTAAAAACAGAAATATTAATCAATCAATTGACTGAATTGATCATGGAACATTTATTTATTACTTGACTCTAACAACAAAGAATAGAATCACGATGACTATTCCAATAAAAAATAATGCATCGTTAATTATCAGTAAAGTACAGTTTCAAAAAACCGTTATTAAATAAAGAAACATTTACAATTCACGAATAATCAACTTCCTTTATTAAGGTAGTGAAAATTTACCGAAGCAAATATTAACAGTAAAAATATCGGTTATTCGCGAGTAATATCGAGTATATTATATTTGCAGAATGTACACACCCAAAGCTAATATTTTATTGAAATAACAATTCATTACCCGTTATTGCAAAACCTTATTGAGATATTTATCGGAAACAGAAGTAATTATCATGATCGCGTTCACGTCCACTCGTTCATTACGAAAAACGGAGGAAGAGTAACAGATAGAGAGAGAGAGAGAGAGAAAGAGGGAGAGAGATTAATCCGTTCTCTTTAAAGTAAATCGAGCATCGTCGGAGGTTAATAAACTAGCGGCAGCAAGCATAAGTTCTATATAGTTGAAGGGGAACGAATGGGGAGACGGCGGCGTCTCCTCTTGAAGCTTATCAACTGGCATTACTGCGCCACGCTAATGTATAGCCGAAGTTGAGGTTGCGTTAATACCTTCTCCTCTTACACACTCTTGCTCGAATTTCCTGGGCGATACGCTATCAGCCGCTTCGCCGATCCATATCGTCGGGAATGCGTTAAACTTCCCGAACGCGCATCAAAAGGAACACCGGCGCGTGTAACTTTCCTAGCACCGCGAAAATCTGTAATACTCAGCGACGCGCCCGGCGAAAAAAAAGGGGTGAGAGGGATCGAGAGCGGGAAATTCTTCGGGAACTTTTATTGTCAAGGGATCACGGAATTCGAACCCACCGTCTGAATCGATGGATCCTCGGGAAGCGTACCGAGACGCCTTCGAACCGAGAAAGAACCAGTTAAGTAACTTTACGCCGCGTTTGAGTCGAATAGAGAACGCTTTCCATTGTTATTTGGACTTCTGGCTCTTTCGCCACCCTTTTTTTGCACTATGAACGTATTA